CGTGTCTCTACTATAAATAGAAAGAAATTAATTGGCCAACTAAAATATACAGAAAAAATTAGCCAGGCATGGTGGCGCATGCCTGTAGTCCCAGCTACTCAGGAGATTAAGGCAGTAGGATCACCTGAGGTTGTTGTGAGCTAGGCTGATGCCACAGCACTCTAGCCCGGGCAAGAGAGTGAGACTCTGTCTCAAAAAAAAAAAAAAAAAAATTTGGACCCTAACTTTACACCATATATAAAAATTAACTCAAAATGAATCAAAGACCTAAATGTAAGAGCTAAAACTATAAAATTCTTAGAAGAAATTAGAGGAGAAGCTTATTGACATTGGATTTGGCAATCATTTCTTGAATGTGTCCAAAAGCACAGGCAATAAAAGAAAAACTAAGTAGGCTGGAATTCATAAAGATTAAATTTTTTTTGTGCAAACAATAGTATCATGTGAGTATACTCAACACTACTGAACTGTATACTTAAAAATACTTAAGATGGCAAATTTTATGTTATATATTATCACAATTTTAGAAAAATGTAAATCTTAAGGGCAAAAAAAGGGGACATTAGCAATAGAGTAAAAAGCAGTCCAGATTATAGGAAAAAATATATGCAAATCATATACCTCATGGGATTGATATCCTGAACATACAAAGAACTCTAACAAATCAACAACAAAAATAAACAACTCTATTCAAAAATGGGCAAAGAAATTGAATAGACATTTTTCCCAAGAAGATATACAAATGGCCAATAAGCACATGAAAAGATATTCAACATTACCAATCCTTAGGAAAATGCTAATCAAAACCACGAGATACCATTTTATACCCATTAGGATGACTACTCCCCTCCCAAAAAACACAACCCCCAGAAAACAGGTGTTGGGAAGGATGTGGAGATATTGGAATCTTTGTGCATTACTGATGGGAATGTAAAATGGTATGGGAAACATCATAGTGGTTGCTTAAAATATTAAAACCAGAATTAACATATGATCCAGGAATTCCACTTCTGGGTATACACCCAAAAGAAATGAAAGCAGGGTCTCAAAGAAGTATTTGCATACCCATGTTCACAGCAACATCATTCACAATAGCCAGAAGGTAGAAGCAACCTGAGTGTCTATGACAGATGAAGGGATAAGCAAAATGTGGTATATACATACAATGAAATATTACTTGGCCTTAACAAGGAAGGAAACTCTGATACGTATACCAACGTAGATGAGCTTTGAGGACATTATGCTAAGTGAAGTAAGCCAGTCACAAAAAGACAAATACTGTAAGATTCCACTTATGTAATTTACCTAGAGTAGTCAAATTCATAGAGATAGGAAGTAGAATGGTGGTTGCCAGGGGCAGGGAGGAGGGGTGAATGGGAGTTAATATTTAATGAGTTCAGAGTTTCAGTTTGTCAAAATGGACGGTGGTGATGGTTGTACAGCCATATGAATGTATTTGATGCCACTGACCTATACACTTACAGTTGTTAAGATGACAATTTTATGCTATGTATATTTTATCATAACTTAAAAAACAAACAAAAAACAATACACCCAAAGGCTACAGATTTTGACTTGATCAAATGAGTGAATGTGATCCATGCACTAAAACAGGACAGAATGTGGAAGGAGCAGCTTTGGGCATGAAAATTAAGTTTTGGGGTGTATTAAGCTTGATGCCACCTAGGCAACCAGATGCAGATGTCAAGTGAGCAGCCCATTAACTAAATTTGGAGTTAGGGAGAAAAAGTCAGGGATAGAAATGCAGATTTGCATAAAAATGATACAAATACTTAACTTGGAGGTTATTAGTATATAGATGGTATTTAAAAACCACAGTACAGGCCGGGCACGGTGGCTCAAGCCTGTAATCCTAGCACTCTGGGAGGCCGAGGCGGGCGGATTGCTCGAGATCAGGAGTTCAAAACCAGCCTGAGCAAGAGCAAGACCCCGTCTCTACTATAAATAGAAAGAAATTAATTGGCCAACTAATATATATATATACAAAAAATTAGCCGGGCATGGTGGTGCATGCCTGTAGTCCCAGCTACTCAGGAGGCTGAGGCAGAAGGATTGCTTGAGCCCAGGAGTTTGAGGTTGCTGTGAGCTGGGCTGACTTAGCCTGGGCAACAAGCGAGACTCTGTCTCAAAACAAACAAACAAACAAAAAACAAACAAACCACAGTACAGAATGAGATTACTTTGGAGCACTCCAACATTCCGAGTTAAAGCAGAGGGTGGGATAAGAGGTTAAGAGCAACTATGGATTTTTTAAAACTCTCTAGGCTAGTTCAATATTCTGAATGTGAGAGATGTAAGGGGATAAACTACACAGTAGAAGTGGGAAAGAAGAGAATTTTGAGATATGTACCTAAAAGGTACCATTGGCAGGACTTGGTGACTGACTAGATGCAAGATGGAAAGGAGAGGAAAATAAATGACACACTGGTTTCTTTCTTAGGAGACTGGGAGGGTACTGCTGCCATTAAAATGGATAATACAAAATAGAAGGATAGAAACAGGGTTTTGGTAGTTGTTTGTGTGGTGGGGGTATGTGTATGTGACTAGTAGGGAGGGCTGAAAAAGAGATAATGATAGTCATAATGGTCAATTCTAATTAGGAAGTTACTTGTCAGTAATAATAGTATCAGTAAATTATTATCAGTCAGTAAAAATAATATCTATTTTGGGAAGCTGGGCATCCCTCTTCAAGGAACACTTTGTCATCAAAGATCACAACAAGCCCTTTGAAAATGAAGGAACTGAAGTTAGTCCAAAATTAACAGCTGTTAAATAGCACATAAGGGCTTCAAACCTGAGTATGATAGACTCCAAGCAAAAGTTTGAGGTACCTGTGGGATGTGGAAGTCAGTAAGGCAGCTAAAGTCTCAGAAGATATAGTGTCACCCAGAGAGAGAATATACATATTAATAAATTATTATTCATATATTTGGCTAATTCCTATAATGGTATAATGAGCCCTTTTCCTCACTTAGAAAATAAAGACCTCAATTTCAGACCTCCTCACAGTCTTTGTATTCCTAGAGTTGCAATGCCTGCCACAAAACAACCACTCAACACAAGTTTGCCAAAGATTTAAAGGTCAGGTGCAATGGCTCATGCCTATATCCCAGCACTATGAGAGGCTGAGGTGGAAGGATTGCTTGAGGCCAGGTATTTAAGACCAGCCTGGGCAATACAGTGAGACCCCATCTCTACAAAAAAATAAGAAAAACCAGTCAGGTATGGTGGTGGGAGCCTGTGGTCCTAGCTACTGGGAAGGCTAAGGTAGGAGGACTGCTTGAGCCCAGGAGTTAAAGGCTACAGTGAGCTATGTTCACACCACTGCATTCTAGTGTGAGTGACAGACCAAGATTTTGTCTCTAAAAAGGAAGAAATAAATAAAAATAAAACTCAATAATTGGCCACAGTTAGAACAAGCCTACGTGATAGGAGAACTACTTCCTGATCGAAATATAGCATAGTTCTTTTATTTCCTCTGTGTAGCATGCTACAAATGCACTGTTTCTTTCTGCACCACAATGTCTGTTTTGTGAATTGCTCTGCTCTAAGTAGTAGATAGGAGACAGAATTCAGTGTGACAGGTACTCTTACACACTGCTGAGGACAGATAAATACTTTCTGGAAGGCAATTTGATAAAATGTATTAAGAGCCTTAAAGCCCTAACTCATTAATCCTAAGAATTTATCCAAAGAAAACAATAAAGTGTAGGTTGAAAGTAATATAAAATATGCAACAATAGGAAAATAATTAAATAAAACATCATACAGCCATAGCATAAAATACTATGCTGTTCTTTTTTTTGAGACAGAGTCTCACTTTGTTGCCCAGGCTAGAGTGAGTACCATGGTGTCAGCCCAGCTCACAGCAGCCTCAAACTCCTGGGCTGAAGCAATCCTACTGCCTCAGCCTCCCGAGTAGCTGGGACTACAGGCATGCACCATCATGCCTGGCTAATTTTTTCTATATAGATTAGTTGGCCAATTAATTTCTTTCTATTTATAGTAGAGACAGGGTCTCGCTCTTGCTCAGGCTGGTTTCGAACTCCTGACCTTGAGCAATCCGTCTGCCTCAGCCTCCCAGAGAGCTAGGATTACAGGTGTGAGCCACCACGCTCAGCCCTATGTTGTTCTTAAATCAAGTTTTTTAAGAATATTTAAGAATACTAGAAAATGCTTTTGATAAGTAAAATGAAAAAAGAATATAAATTATATCTAGTATGATCAATCATAATTTTGTATTTGTATGTGTAGCTATATATATATATTTATTACTACCTAGAAAAAAAGATTAGAATATACCAAAAATACTAATAAAAGAGTCTCTCTGGGTGGAAAGATTATAGGATACCTTGGTTTTTTTCTTTTTATGTTTTCCAGTCTTTTTTTGTTTTTGTTTTTTTGAGACACAGTCTCATTCTGTCACCCTGGGTAGAGTGCAGTGGCATCATTATAACTCAATGCAACATCAAACTCCTAGGCTCAAGTGATCCTCCTGCCTCAGCCTCCCAAGTAGCTGGTATTACAGGCGTGGGCAACGACACCAGCTAATTTTTCTATTTTTAGCAGAGACAAGGGTCTCTCATCTTGCTCAGGCTGGTTTTGAACTCCTGAGCTCAAATAATCCTCCTGCCTTGGCCTCCCAGAGTGCTAGGATTACAGGTGTGAGCCACTGTGCCTGGATTATTTTCCAGTATTTCTAAAATTTCTACAAAAGGCACATTTTCATTAAAATTTTTTTAAATTTTTAATTTTTAGAGATAGGGTCTCCCCAAGTTGCACAGGCTGGAGTGCAGTGCTATTCACAGATGCAATCACAGGGCACTATGGCCTAGAACTCCTGGCCTCAGGTGATCCTCTCACATCAACCTCCAAAGGAATTGGAACTACAGGCATTAACCACCACACATGGCTTTTCATATTTTCATTTTAAAACTTGAAGAAATATAATAAATAAAATAAAATAAAACAGCAATTACCTTCTTTCTTTTTCTAGAAGAATTCTTCATGGGGTCAGGCTTCTCAACTTCTGCTGTCTTTGCTTCTTCCTTCTCCTCTTCCTCATCAGGTATCAGAGAGTATTTGGTCCCACCCGGCTGCATGAAGCAATCTTTTGCAAAGTGGCCTGTAGAAGAGAAGTAGAAAAGGTAGGGAAGGAGGAAGCGGGTCTTTCCTCCCAGCAGGTGGATCTTCCCCAGAGGCTCCTGAAAGGGTCTGGTTTAGGAAATATTATTGAGATCGTTCAGAGTAGCTGTTTGATCCAAGGAGTTTTTCCATCACCTCAAGATGGCATTGCTCACTCAACCAGGCCAGACTAGCAGCTGGTCTTAGAGCTGTGGGAAACTCAGTCTTAGGGCTGCTCTGGAAATGAAAGAGGATATGAAGATGCAGGCTTACGTACCATTAGTAATGGGGCTTATTAATTTTTAAAGATCTATTTTGGAACTTATTCCTGACAGCGAAAAGCTGTTCCAGAGAGCAGGATGCTTAGCAGAGAGAGCCAAATGGTGCGCCAAGCCCTAAAGGAAGACAGCTCTTAGGCAGCTGGCAGGAAGTAGGTACTTATATCCAAGGTAACACATGGAGAGACAGGCACAGTCACCTAAGGGTACTGAACATTCACAGATTGTCAGGTCTGGCAAGGGCCACAGAGATCATCAAATCCAACAACCTACATTTGCAGAGACCATGAAGGCCCAGAGTTGAGAAGTAGCTCAAGGTCACATAGCAGAACTAAAACCTATCTCAGGTCTCATGTCTCTCTGCCCTTTTGCTCTTTCTGCTACACCAAAACCAACTATACCTTTGGCCTAACCTTTTCTGACTGAGACAATTCCACCTCCCATTATTCTTCTCTGCCTTAAGTAATGCCTAGTGAACACAGGTTGAAAGTAAGAAAGCCCACCATCCCTGATCCTATAGTGCTACTGAGGGGTACTTTAACAGATGCTATGCTCTATAGCTCTAGTTCTGTCTGAGCTTGTAGTAAATCCTGTCTCAGGGGCACAGAGGAATTATGCGAGATTATCAAAAAGCTATGTGTTTGTAAACTACTTTATACCTCTGAGTCCAGAAGCTGGCTAGTGCCTGGAAGGGGAATACATCATAGAGTTTTCCAAACATCTCCCATAATTCTGCTGAGGAGGTATTCTTTCTCTCAACTTTATTTTTCCCTTCCTCCCTCTACATTATGGTATGTATGGGCTTAAAACCCACAACTTCAAGCAGGGCACAAATCTGCTAGCAGTTATGATAGAAAAATAAACAGAGGAGGATGCATGGAAGGCTAGGGAGAAGGGGTGACAAATTGAGGTCACTCTGAAAATGAGAAGCTGGCAATCCCTTTCATCATAGCTGCAACAAGGGAAGTTAGGCTCAAAGAGCTTTTTAATATTTGAGTAAGACTAGAGGAAACCTGAGGAAATAGAGCTAAAAGGATGTGACTAGATTATATTCTTTATTAGTAAAAGGCTATTATATTCAGAACTTTGACATTAAAGAGAGAAAGCCCAGGAAGAAAGAGCTTAACATGGAACATTAAGGAATACATTTCACTCAAATTAAGTCACTTAATTTGTGCAGAACAATTTTCCTTGGAGATAAAACTTAAGAGTGTTAATCATAATCCAACACTGATATCCCTCCTGGCATGGTTCATGGGGACCTTGCCCAGGCAGGGCATGAGCTGGGGATGGGAGGGTAGTGATAGTGGTATATTATCTGGCAGAGCAGCATTCAGAAAAGTAAACAGAAAAAGCATCAAGCCACCAACTCTTATGTGCACCTGGCTAGAATAATAGCATGAACAGGTGAGGCCATCAACTTGGCTTAAAAACAGCGTGAGCTACACTCACATTGGGCTGCCTCCTTCGTCCAGTAAAAGGTACATCCACAAGGAGAGAAAGATGGAAATGGCAGAGGCTTCACCTTACCTTTACAGCCACACTTCTTGCAGGTAGTGTTCAGGACAGCCTCGAGGGTGATCTTTTGCCCAGTGTAATCCTGGAAGGAACGCCTCCTCCTCTCTTCTTGCCTATAATGAAAAAGATACTGACTGCTGGCCCCCTTAAGAGATGTGGACAGAGATACTACAAGGTAATGCTGAATGTTGGTTTTTTGTTTTGTTTTTGGCAGTGAAAAGGTAGAAAGAAGGAAAAGTGTTAAGCAGAATAAGACAGGCACTGAAAACAATGATGTGAAATAGCCTAATTTTTTCATTCAGGATAAGGCTTGGAATTAACAATTATGAATGAAACTAGGCCTCATCTTACTAATACACAGAGGATGAAAAAATATTAATAATTACTCACCATGCTAAACACCCTACAGCCCTTAGCAGGTCACTCATGGGTTAAAAGACCTTCAAAAGCTTTCTAAAAAAATCAAATCCAAATTCATACCTCGGCATTCAAGGCCTTCCCCAGTCTGTCTCTAATTTACTTTTCCAGCCTTATATTTACTTATACAATATGCTCTGGCAAAACAAAACTATTTTTCCTTCTCCAGATGGTTCAGCACTACTGTTCAAGCAGTTCCCTCTCTGAGATGCTCTGCTTGCCCTCTTTATTCCCACCTTACCACGTCACCACATCCAAACAGTTCAAGGCTCAGCCCAGTTACCTCCTCTGTTTCTATCAAGTCTTCTTCCATGAGTCCCTCAGTCAGAATTAAACTCTTTGTTCACATTCTCAAAGCATTTTTTTAAAAAAAATTCTAAATTTCTGACCAAAGTATAATATGCATATAGAAAAGTTTTTATCATAAGTATATAGCTCACTTGATTTTCACAATTTAAACATACTGATATTACCAGTACTTAGATAAAGAAACAGAACATTACCAGCACCTCAGAAGCCTATCTCATGCTCCCTTCTAGTCATCATGCCTCTCCCAAGGGTAATCACTATTTCTAACAGCATAGATTCCTTTTACCTATTTTTGTAAATCATATAAATGGAATCATAGAGTATGGACACTTCTGTGTCTTGCTTCTTTTGTTTGTGTCATTCATCCATATTGTTGTGTTCAGTTAGGAATCATTCATTTTCATTGCTATATTCTATAATATATTGGGGGGTACTTGAATAATTTCTGTTATGAACAGTGCTTCTATGAACTTTCTAGTACATGTCTTTTGGCAAACATATGCATGCATTTCTGTTCGGAAATCTCTAGCTCCACACAGGAGCGGAACTGCTGGGTTTTAGGGCATCAGCTTTAGCAGACACTGCCAGTTTTCCATAGCACATTTACCAATTTATATTCCTATCAGCAGAGGATAAACATTCCAGTTGTCATAGCTTTTATTTTTCACCTTTATTATAACACACAGTGCCTGCAGAGTAGGTACTCAGGAAATATTTAACTGAAGAGCATCACCTTCAATCACTCTCTTTTTCAAACTTTAACTGAATCCTGTACACACTGCATTCCAAGCACATATCATACTTTACTGTATTATGTTTCTTCTCTAGAGAGTGAGCCCTTAAGTTACAATATCTTACTGTGTTTGTTCTCCAGCAGCTTAGCCCAAGGCTTGACACACAATAAACATCAATTGTCTGTTCCAATTTCTTTGCTCTTCATCCAAAAATATTCTTTCTTTACCTGAATCTCTTTAAGATCTAACTCTCCCTTCACCTAAGACTTTCTAACCATTCACCAGGTCTCTACAGTCCAGCAAAACCAGAGGAATATTCTGTCAAATCAGCCATATTATCCAAAGAAATGAGGGATAGCTATATAAAAGCAGAACAAAGCTAACCACTTCACATGTATAGTTTTTCAAGCTGACGTTATGAACATCTCATGTCACATATTTTACCCAACAGACATGTAGGCTCATGAGAGGAAACTGAAGGACAAAGATACTCCGTATCTGTCCCATTCATTGAACTTGAAACTTCTTCAAAGTTCAGCTCAAATACTGCATCTTCTATGAAATGCTCCCTGATACCACAGGCAGAGATAATTTACTCTTTTGTGTCACCACAGTATTTCACTCTTTGATCATTTGGTTAGGTTTGTTTACATTTTGCCACACTCTCCGCATCATAAGCAGAACCTCAAGAAACAAACACTGCCTAATGCATTGTTCTCCAAAAGAATACAATGATGGATATGTTCTGTAAATCTGTAACTCTGCACTGCCCAAACATGTGGCTATTAAGCACTTAAAATGTGGCTTCTAGGCTGGGCACGGTGGCTCACGCCTGTAATCCTAGCACTCTGGGAGGCCGAGGTGGGCGGATTGCTAGAGGTCAGAAGTTCGAAACCAGCCTGAGCAAGAGCGAGACCCCCATCTCTACTATAAATAGAAAGAAATTAATTGGCCAACTAATATAGATACAAAAAGAATTAGCCGGGCATGGTGGCACATGCCTGTAGTCCCAGCTACTCGGGAGGCTGAAGCAGGAGGATCCTTTGAGCCCAGGAGTTTGAGGTTGCTGTGAGCGAGGCTGACGCTATGGCACTCACTCTAGCCTGGACAACAAAGTGAGACTCTGTCTCAAAAAAAAAAAAAAAAGTGGTTTCTAGGCCAGGCACGGTGCCTTACACCTGTAATTCCAGCACTTTGGGGAAGCCAAGGTGGGAGGATTGTTTGAGGCCAGGAGTTTGACATTAGCCTTGACAACACAGGAAGACTCTAAAAAACTTAAAAAATTTGATGGGGACAGTAGCTCATGCCTCTAGTCCCAGCTATGTGGGAGGGAGGCTAAGGCAGGAGGATTCCTTGAGCTCAAGGAGTTTGAGATTAAAGTGAGCTATGATTGCATCATTGCTTTCTAGCCTGGCTGACAGACCAAGATCATCTCTTTTTAAAAAATTTTGTAGGCCCGGCACGGTGGCTCATGCCTGTAATCCTAGCACTCTGGGAGGCCGAGGCAGGCTGATTGCTTGAGGTCAGGAGTTCAAAACCAGCCTGAGCAAGAGCAAGACCCCGTCTCTACTATAAATAGAAAGAAATTAATTGGCCAACTAATATATATAGAAAAAATTAGCCAGGCTTGGCAGCAGGATTGCTTGAGCCCAGGAGATTGAGGTTGCTGTGAGCTAGGCTGACACCATGGCATTCACTCTAGCCTGGGCAACAAAGCGAGACTCTTGTCTCAAAAAAAATAAATAAGTAAAAAATAAAAAAATTTTTGTAGGGATTGGGTCCTGCCATGTTGCCCAGACTGGTCTCAAACTAGTGGCTTCACCCAATCCTTCCACTTTGGAAGTGCTGGGATTACAAGTGTGAGCCACCGCATCTGGCCAACACTCTGTCTCTTAAAAAAATTTTTTTTTTTTAATGTGGCTAGTGAGATCCAGGAATTGGACATTAAATTTTATTTAATTTTGATTAATTTACATTTAAATAGTCACATGTGACAAGCAGCTACCCACTTGGACTGTGCAGACAAGCATATCATTTAGGTTCTGAAAATATATGCTCAAATTCCTGGCTTTTGCCTTAGAAGAATCCTACTCAAAGATGGGGGGTGGTCCTTGGGTTACGGGAGAGGGTCCTTTAAAAACACATAGTGAAGCTTGAGTAACAAAAACCAAGACAGATACCTAGAAAGCTTGTTGGCAGGGTAAAAATAAAAAAAATAAAATAAGAAAGAAAGAAAGAACAAAAACCAAGGCAGAAACTTGGGAGACTTAACTTGAACAAATCATAAACTCCATGGCTTTCAGGTGCCCTTGTTCGTAAAGCTGAATTTCAAGTGGCGAATTTCAAGTGCTTAAGCTATAGCTTAAGCAAATCCTCATTATAATCAATTCCAATACTCTGTGGATTCTAACATACTACAAGCCAAATCATACCTCCCAGCTAACACTCAATTCAACAAATGTGTCACTCATCCAGATGTCTCTCTTTCTGTCCTCATTGCCATCATACTATAATAGTTTAGGCTTTATCACATTTCATCTAGTACACATTGTCAAATTAATCTTTCTTTTTGTCAGTTTAACTAATAAGTGGCTAGTGCTGTGCTAGTAGTAAGTATGTATATGAAAATGAACAGGACATGGTCCTTTTCCTCAAGGAACTCATAGTCTAGCAGCAGTGGGAAACAAATAAACAAATAACTATAGTGTGGTGAGTCATAAGTGTTCTTTCTGAAGACAATACTATGCTGGCTACACCTAACTGGAAACTGCCTTTAGCCCCTCTCCATTTGCAGAGTAACTTATTAGATGGCCTTGTTAACACTTTGGGGCTGAGGGGATAAAATATAAGACCTAGATTTTGATGGAAAATGAAAGGTGGCTAACAAACTGTGGGTAGCTGGAGACAGCATGACAATATTGAGCACAACAGGGTGAGGCCAGACAATGGGGTACCTGGGTAGATTAATCAGATCAGAAGCCTTTCCCCCTCAAAAGCTTTTTAAAAAATCCATATTATTCTTTGACTGATATTCAAGGCTCTCTGCAATCTGACTCCAACATACTTTCAAGCCTTACATTCTAGTACTTGACCATACCCTCTCATTTCCTTGAACACTCCCGAATGTGCCCTGTGCTTTCTTGCCTCATGCCTTTCCTCAAATGATTTCTTCTGCCTGGAATACTGTTCCTTCCCCTATTGTCTGATAAAATCTTCTTTGTTCTTCAAGACCTAGCTCAAAAGCCACCTACTCTCTGACCATCATGGCATGAAATCAACTATTCCTCTTCAAGCTAATTCCTTAAACTTGTTCCTTTTTTTTGAGACAGAGTCTCGCTTTGTTTGCCACCGGGCCAGCCATTAAACTCGTTCTTTAAACCATTCTTGTAGCATTTATTACACGTTGCCTAATATTTGCTGAATAAACTATTAAGTGAATGCTACCCATCAGGCACTATGGGAGATAAGACATGGCTCCTGTTTTTACAGGTCTCATACATTCTTTCAAAAGAAAAGGTGAGGCCAGGAGCAGTGGCTCACGCCTGTAATCCTAGCTCTCTGGGAGGCCGAGGCAGGTGGATTGCTCAAAGTCAGGAGTTCAAAACCAGCCCGAGCAAGAGCGAGACCCCGTCTCTACTATAAATAGAAAGAAATTAATTGGCTAACTAATATATATAGAAAAAATTAAGCGGCATGGTGGCCATGCCTGTTCCCAACTACTTGGAGCTGAGGCAGATAGGATTGCTTGAGCCCAGGAGTTGAGGTTGCTGTGATAGACTGACGCCCGCGCACTCATTCTAGCCTGGGGCAACAAAGTGAGACTCTGTCTCAAAAAAAAAAAAAAGAAAAAAAAAAAAAAAAAGAAAAAGTGAAGATAATCTCAGATATTAGAGAAAAAACAAAGAAGCAATTAAAACAACGATTACAGGAAGCTGCATATATTAAATGTCTATCATAGACTAGACACTAGGCTGGTTCCTTACAAATAAGATTTCACTGAAATCATTCCATCATTTCTGAGATACCTCCAGAATCTCAGATGGTATCATTATCTTCATTTTATAGTGAAGAAGCTGAAGTTCAGAGAGACCAAGTTATCTACTGAAGGTCATATACTAGTTTGAGCGGAACTAGTACTCTTTCTTTTTTATACATATACACTCTATCTAATTCAAGTGTAACTCTAAAACCAATAATCATTCCACTATGCCATGCTTCTTTCCTGAGAGCCATAGACATAGTTTACAGAAGTTACTGTTTCAGCCACTTGGTTATTACTAGAAATAGCCCATACATAGAGACAGGTACAGAGCAAAACCAGGGAGTCCTTTATCTTCCCTACCCTTTTTCTGAAAAACAGAGACAGTTCTTTAATCTTACTTAGTTTATATTTTATTACTGTAAGGATGGCTTTGGGAAATTTTCCTGCTTTTTAATGAGTCTGTATATCATTCTTTGGAACAGAAGCAACTTATTATAATGCAATCAGTAATCGCCAGAGTTAAATAACACGGAAAATGTTTTGTCAATAATCAGCCCTACAGGCCGGGCACAGTGGCTCACACCTGTAATCCTAGCACTCTGGGAGGCTGAGGTGGGAGGATCACTCAAGCTAAGGAGTTCGAAACTAGCCTGAGCAAGAGTGAGACCCTGTCTCTACTAAAAATAGAAAAATTAATTGGCCAAATAAAAATATATAGAAAAAATTAGCTGGGCATGGTGGCACATGCCTGTAGTCCCAGCTACGTGGCATGCTGAGGCAGAAGGATTGCGTGAGCCCAGGAGTTTGAGGTTCTGTGAGCTGGGCTGATGCCACAGTACTCTAGCCCGGGCAATAGAGTGAGGCTCTGTCAAAAAATAGTAATAATAATCAGCCCTACAAATGTCAATATTTAAGGAGTAAACTACAGAAATATAAAAAACTCTAAGTCACATGCAACAGCTAGAAGGATAATGTGGTGAAAAGTACATTAGCTTTAAGGTCAAAGAGACCTAGGTTCAAGTCCCTGATATTTGCTATGTAACCACAAGCAAGTTACTTAGCACCAAGCTATAATGTAGAAATATAAAGTAAAATGGGGATAACGCCCATTTTGCAGGTTGTTAGGAGAATTACACACACTAATGCACATAAAATGCCTTGCATAATGCCTGCCAAGTAATATGTATCCAATAAATATTACTTCCCTTCCTGTTAGATAAAAGTCCTTCATATCCAAAGTAATTGTGTCCTGAACTATACACAAAAGGGTTTCCAAACATTTCACCAACAAGATCCCATTCAAATAACATTTATCATCTTTTTCTTATTTTTTTAAATTAATCAATGACACCTAATTAGCAAGAGAGAAACAATGTGATATTTTATCATCTAAAACAACAAAATAATAGCATGGTTAACCTGAGGATAAATGTATGATTTTGGAGGGCTTTCTAAAACACTAAAAGCAGTTAATAAACCCTCCAAGATTCCTTCAAGTGATCTTATGGATCCAAGAACCCCTGCTTAGAAGTTCAAAAAAGACTCTGAGACAAACAGAAAATTCCCCATATTACCAGACATTAATTTATTAACTTACATGGATAGAAAATCTTCCATTCCTAAATGAAAGGTCAAAAGAAACAATGAAAATGAGGTGCTGTTTCAAAACACAGAGTATCCCAAGATGTGGGAGTCTAAACCCCACTGGAGTTACTCCTAGATTCCCTAACCCCCTGACACGGTCTCATTAGAAGAGAGATATAACAGTACTTCATGAATGCTTATTGGGCTAACTGGTTAAAGGGCAGAAACAGAAAGAGATTAAGGGGAGGGAAACAAAACTATTGATGGAGCACACTCCTATGCTAGGAGGTTTTGCATGTTAATATTTCATCTTAGAACTCCATGCAACATTCAGCAAAACACATACTTTCATTGGTTAAAAAAAGAAAAAGAAATTAAAAAAAAGAAGAACTCCATGCAACAAAGTGTTATCTACCCTTTATACCTCTAAAACCCAAAGATCACAAAGGTTATATAACTCATCAATACCACAAAGTCTATAAACGGTAGTTCCCAGTTCAGCCTGATTTACCACAGCATTCTATGGTTTCTATGGGATACAGAACGATTTCAGCCTTTCCAAACCTTTTACCTACTCAATGATAACGTTGTTGGGATCAAGGTCTTTCCCAGTCCCTTGGTTGACAACTTTCATGGAGAGGGATACTTTTATCCTATCATTTTTCATCTGAAAAAGATAAAAGCAAAGTCACCAAAAACTCTAAGTACATCCCTCAGACTAACAGTCTAAAATTATCTAACTAAGAATCAAAACTTGCATTGTCATAACATACATTGAGTTCCTCTAATGGACTAAGTTCTGTTCTAGGAACATTGAAGGTACAAAGAAGAATAATAGGCAAACCCTAACACAGAAGAATTTTAGGAAATAGTCTTTAATTCCTCTCCCTCTGGGAGAAAGAAATGGTTGCTCAGAAATCTAAGGCCTATGGAGGTAGCCTGGCAGAAATAAAACCCGTTTCTTCCAGGTAAGTTCAGCATAGTGATTGGTTCAGAGATTTATAAACCGCGAATGGGTTTTAGAACCATTTTAGGAGACTAGATCTCCTTTTGGACTTGGTCTAGAGCTCCATCCAGCATGAAGACACTTGTTGAATGTCTTGGTCTTTTGCTTCCTGTAGCACATAAAGCCTTTCTCCACTTCAGGGTCTTTGCATCAGTTATTTATTCTCTCTGCTTAGAATGTTCTTAACCCAACTCTTCACATGACTAGTTCCTTTTCTTTTGGGTCTTAGCTCATATACCATCTCTTCAGACAGCCCTTTCCTGACAACTTTATCTAAATCTACCTCCAATATCATTTGAACCCAATATAGCACTTACTGTAATTTGCAGGTTTGTTTTGTTTTGTTTGAGACAGAGTCTCACTCTGTTGCCCAGGCTAGAGTGCTATGACATCAGCCTAGTTCACAGCAACCTCAGACTCCTGGGCTCAGGCGATCCTTCTGCCTCAGCCTCCTGAGTAGCTGGGACTACAGGTATGCGTCACCATGCCTGGCTAATTTTTTCTATATATTTTTAGTTGGCCAATTAATTTCTTTCTATTTATAGTAGAGACGGGGTCTCGCTCTTGCTCAGGCTGGTTTTGAACTCCTGACCTTGAGCAATCCGCCCGCCTCGGCCTCCCAAGAGCTAGGATTACAGGCGTGAGCCACAGCACCCGGCCTGTACCACACTTTTATAGTTCACACCATTCCTTCTGACTTTGCAAAACAGCCAGAAGGTTTAAATTCAGGACATATTCTAGTGAACAGATTTAAAAATAAGATTATCAGTCATAATTAACAACATTTACATGCTCACTATCATAAAATAGCAAGAAAATCCCAGCTCTTCCTAATCCTTCTTTCTAACCACATGAAAGTGGCACAGAACTTTACCTCTCGGCCAATAAGCTTCACCCACACTTTGTCTCCGACATCTACTATTTCAGAGGGCTTATCCACCCGACAGGATGACATATGAGTTCGATGGACCAGACCTGGGCACAAGAAGGAGAAATAAAATAAAACAGAGGGCATGACTGGATAAGGAGAAGAAATGGGGAAAGCAAGGGAAGAATGAAAGTTTCCAGTGAAAAATATTTGTTAAAAGAGCAAATTAAACCAATTTGAGATTGTTTTTCATACCTAATCAACAAACAAACATTCTTAAAATAATGCTAAATGTTATTAAGATGTGATAAAATAACTATAATCATATAAGACTGATAGAAATATCAGTTGGTAAAATTCTCTGAAAGCAAAGGCATAAAGATGTTTATGCCTTTCATGCAAGAATATTATCAATGACATTTTTTCAAAGGAAAAACTTAATAGAGGCAAAAACCTATTGGCATAAAATACGTGTATTATCATTACCTACAAATGTTAAAAAAAAGAGAAAAAAAAAGAGGCCAGGCAGGTGGCTTATGCCTGTAATTCCCAGCACTTTGGGAGGCCGAGGTAGAAGGATGCTTGAGGCCAGGAGTTCAAGATTCGACTGGGCAATATAGCAAGACCCCACCTCTAAAAAACTTAAAATGCTAGGCGTGGTGGCGCATGCCTATCGTCCCAAGTACTTGGGAGGCTGAGGCAGAAGAATCGCTTGAGCCCTGGAGTCTGAGGTTGCAATGAGCTGTGATTGTACCACTGTACTCCATCCTGGACAATAGAGCAGGACCTTGTCTCTTTAAAAAAAAGTAACATGAAGAATTATAAAACAGCCTAAATGATCAATAACTAGAAAATATCTTGGTAAATTATAGCAAATCTGTCAAATGAAACAGTAAGCAGCCATTTAAATTACAGTTACAGAAAACAATTTTTATCACAAATGTTAAGTGAAAAAAGGAAATACAAACAAGGGACCATTTTTAATCAGTTACATTAGCAAAATATATATTTTTATAATTTTCATTTTTTTTTTTTTTTGAGACAGAGTCTCGCTTTGTTGCACAGGCTAGAGTGAGTGCCGTGGCGTCAGCCTAGCTCACAACAACCTCAAACTCCTGGGCTCAAGCAATCCTTCTGCCTCAGCCTCCCGAGTAGCTGGGACTACAGGCCGAGTAGCTGGGACTACAGGCATGCGCCACCACGCCCGGCTAATTTTATATATATATATGTTAGTTGGCCAATTAATTTCTTTCTATTTATAGTAGAGACGGGGTCTTGCTCTTGCTCAGGCTGGTTTCGAACTCCTGACCTCGAGCAATCTGCCCGCCTCGGCCTCCCAGAGTGCTAGGATCACAGGCTTGAGCCACCTCGCCCGGCCAATTTTCATTTTTTTTTAAGAGGCAGGGTCTCACTCTATGTTCTAGGCTGGAATGTGGTGATATAATCACAGATCACTACAACCTCCAATTACTGGGCTCAAGGGATTCCCCTGCCTTAGCCTCCCAAGTAGCTGGGACTATAGGCATGTAGCACCATGGCCAACTAATTTTTTTTTTTTTTTAGAGATGGGATCTTGCTATGTTGCCCAGGCTTGCCTTGAACTTCTGGCCTCAAGCAATCCCCCCAGCTTGGCCTCCCAAGTAGTTGGACTATAGGCACATGCCACCACGCCTGGCTAATTTTTTTTTAGAGGTTGGGTCTCGCTATGTTGCCCAGTCTGGTCTTGAAGTCCTGGCCCCAATGATCCTCCAACCTTGGTCTTCCAAGGTGCTGGAATTATAGGTGTAAGCCGCTATGCCTGGCCAACAAAATATTTAGAAATAACAATACCCAATGTGGTGAAAGTATAGTAAAATAAATAATATTACTAAGGCTAGAACAAACTTGAAAATATCTCAGCAATGGTTATCAAAAAGGATAAAATATTTATAATATACTTGATATTTAATAAAAATAATTGAAATTTTAATAATTTAATAACATTTAATAAAATGTTCATAATAGACATTCTTTTCCTGTCTGTCCAAGTTCCTTTCCTTGGGAGAACTATCTCCCTAACTTATATTCTAAAGCAATCTGGTCAGTCCATGTAATTTGGCTGGAGCTGACCTAACCCCCAACTGTGGGCACATGACACAGGCTTAGCCAATCAAGGTAGTTCCATTCTCCTGGCCACAAGATAACTGGTTCAGGGGCGGACACAAGAAACCAGCTAAATCAATCATCTTTCTTAAGACATTTGTCAGGATTATAAACTACAAAAAATTACCAATGCTTATCTTTACCACCAGATGGCAAGAGTCTGCCAGGGAGAAGCGAAGAAGAGTACAGGGAAACAGACAAACAAAGCCTGAGGGTATAATCTGAGCAACTATGACAGCCAAGGCTGAAGCCGGATTTATCCTGGAAGCCCCTTGCAACCTAGAATCTAATAATTAATTTGATCCATAATCACTTCTGAGAATCTATCCAAAAAATAATAATCTTATACATAGGAAGAGCTACATCCTTCAGGAAAAGTCATCTACATCAAAATATTCAATGTATTTTTAAGACAGGAAAATTCAGAAACAATTCATTATCCAACAAAAGGGTAATAATTAAGTCAATTACGGTATAGTTATTTGGTAGTCCATTCAAAAGATTATGTAAAAACATGTTAATAATTCATTCTGTAGTAAGTATTTATTGAGTGCCTATTATATGTCAAGCATTGTACGCATCTAGCATTTTTCCCATGCTAAATAACAAAAGCAAAATGTGAAATTATATAGTATGATTACAAATGCTTAAAATACATTTAAAAAAATAGAAATGACCAGAAATGTTAACAATGATTATAACATTACAGGTTAGCCTTTTCATTCATTTTCAAATGTTTTAATAATAGAGAAGATTACTTCTAGAGAGAATGAAAATAAATAATTATTTTGAATGACGATAAACCAGGAATCACGTCTAAAATAACTGCTCTCTCTACATTACATACATTATATAGGCTTTTTAAATTTTAGATCAACATATAATCTCCAAATTGGATAAAAACCATATAGCTGGGTTTTATTTGCTCCCGTATGATGATATAATGAAGCGACTAGCCTAATTGGAAAGTCTGAAGAGGAAATTCAGATCTCATGAAGGGAAACATTTCTTTTTTTCTTTTTTTTTTTTTTTATGTGATCTAAAACATTTGTATGCCTTGACATTTCTTTGGCTTCAACTGTCCTCTCATAATTAAAATTCACCTCTTTCCTCTATTGCTAATGAAAGTTATGAAGGAAATTAATGTTGAACCTAATACACTTGAGAGAACATAATTTTTCTTCCCTAAAACAGGTCTATTTATTAGATAAGCAGAAAGAAATAATGGTGTCAACAATTTTTCCCACCTGATGCCAAAGTATTATTTTTTTTTCTTAGTCCAGGCATCTCTCTCCTGGATAAATATGACATTTCCAGAAGCTTTAACAGCGAAAAATTGGAAACAACTTAAAATGGTTATATGGGGCATCTGAATGACAGACTAAAGCCATCATATGTTTTTAAAAAGTGGCTCACACCTATAATCCTAGCACTCTGGGAGGCCAAAGCAGGATTGCTTGAGCTCAGGAGTTCCAGACCAGCCTGAGTAAGACCAAGACCCCATCTCTACTAAAAATAGAAAAATTAGCTGGTGGAGTAGCCCAGGCCTGTAGTCCCAGCTACAGGAGAGGGTGAGGCAGAAGGACTGCTTGAGCCCAGAAGTTTTAGGTTGCAGTGAACTATGATAACTGCCACTGTACTCAAAAAAAAAAAAAAAAAAAAAAAAAAGGTTACCTTTACCTTTGGTTTGGGGAATCTGAATTCCCTCTCTAGAGTCTTCAAGTCAGTCATCTCCAATCAATGGTATATGACAATAATGTAAGCGCATAAGTTAAAGTGCTTTCACACCCTTTGTCTTATTGAGATTATAGATTCATTCAAACATTTACTAAACATTATATTGTAGGCAAAAATGGATCCAAGGATGAATGAAACATGCTTGCCTTTTTTGATTCTGCCAAGTCAAAAAACTCACAGCCTAAAATATACAAATCATTCCCATTTCACAGATTAGGAAATTAAGGCTGAAAGACTAAGCACTTTACCCAAACCAAGAAGATAATAAATGGTGGGGCTGGGGCCAGAATTCATTTAATAAGAATTACTAAACACTCACTATACCTTAGGCACTGTACTAGGCCCCAACTCATCCAAACAACCTAACTATTCCACAACTCAGTGGATTAAGTGCAACCCCACTCATTTTTATTAGATGCCATTGTAATTTGTTTACACCTCTAGACTGTGAACAATCTGAGGGCAGCAGGGATTATGCTTTTCTTACCTCTGTGCTGCCACCAAAAAAAAGTTACAAGAGAATAGAGCTCAATAATTATTTGCTAAACTGAATCCAGTGCCAAACATTTGAGCTTCTACCATAAGAGCAAGGAACTCTAAAAGTATAACATTAAATAATCTCTGCTTTCAAAATTTCAAAGTTTAGTGCTGGAGGGCAAAAGACAGTAGGGAAAAAAAAGAATTGTACACTTGCATAGACAACTTCATTGTCTAAGATGCCCACTAGCCACATAACTGTTTTAAGTTTAAATTTAAATTAGTTGAAATAAATAAAATGAAAAAAGTCAGTGGCTACTGTAATGGACAGCACAGATGTGATACAATATAAAAATAAATATTTGGTCTTTGTCCCTGTTCCTGGCAAAGAACTCTTAAAACTCCTGGGATTTCCTGAGTGATAGGAGTATATTTTATTCATAATAAGACCCTTTTGATCACAACTGAGTTTATGCTAATGAGGTGACAGAATGAGGCCCCTAGATGATAATCTGTATTTGCAGCCACTACCCAGTGCTAGCACCACCACCTCAGCTCCACCTTAGATCACTGGGCATTAGAAACAAAGTCCCACTACATTGCCCAGGCCAGACTCAAACTCCTGGGTTCAGCGATCCTCCTGGGACTAAAGGCACGCACCCACCCAGCACAGAGAGTAGGAAGTTTTAGTCCCACCCACCAACCCTCTATCTCCAGGAAGGGGAAGGATGAGGCCTGGAGATTGACCTCTAGAAAAACTCATGAATCTGTAGAGTTTGGGGGTTGGTAAACACATCGTAGGGCTGGGAAAGTGGCATACCAGAGAGGGCATGAAAGCTCCCCACCACAACTTACCCTACTCCACTCCACCTATACCTTGTCCAATGCATCTCTTCCATTTGGCTGCTCCTTGGTTACATCCTTTATTTTAAACTATATAATTACAATATACTGTAATAAATGTCATCATGCACTGTGGCTGTAACTTACAGTTTGAGGTACAACAGCAAAACTAGCACTAATTTCTGGGTTTTTTTGAGACAGAGTCTCGCTTTGTTGCCCAGGCTAGAGTGAGTGCCATGGCATCAGCCTCGCTCACAGCAACCTCAATCTCCTGGGCTCAAGCAATCCTTCTGCCTCAGTCTCCCGAGTAGCTGGGACTACAGGCATGCACCACCATGCCCAGCTAATTTTTTCTATACATATTAGTTGGCCAACTAATTTCTTTCTATTTTTATAGTAGAGATGGGGTCTCGCTCTTGCTCAGGCTGGTTTCGAACTCCTGACCTCGAGCAATCCGCCCACCTCGGCCTCCCAGAGTGCTAGGATTACAGGTGTGAGCCACTACGCCAGGCCAGCACTAATTTCTTTAGCCTTCTTAACCATCTCACACATACAAGATTCGTTCTTACTGTAGATCTTAGTAACCCCAGCATAGAATTTTTTTTTTTCTCCTTATTGAGAACTTTCAACTTTTCCCTTAAAGGAAACACTTTGGCATATCTGAATTGCAGTGTCACTACTGTATTTTGGAGTCATAAGTAAAGTAAGGCTTTCTTGAACACAAGCACTGCCATACCAGACAGTGGTGCCAATAATCAAGAAGGCTAAGGCCGGGCGCTGTGGCTCACGCCTGTAATCCTAGCTCTTGGGAGGCCGAGGCGGGCGGATTGCTCAAGGTCAGGAGTTCAAAACCAGCCTGAGCAAGAGCGAGACTCCGTCTCTACTATAAATAGAAAGAAATTAATTGGCCAACTGATATATATATAAAAAATTAGCCGGGCATGGTGGCGCATGCCTGTAGTCCCAGCTACCCGGGAGGCTGAGGCAGAAGGATCACTGGAGCCCAAGAGTTTGAGGTTGCTGTGAGCTAGGCTGACGCCACGGCACTCACTCTAGCCTGGGCAACAAAGCGAGACTCTCTCTCAAAAAAAAAAAAAAAAAAGAAGGCTACTAAGTGACTAACATGAGCATAGCATATACAACATGGATACACTGGACAAAAGGATCATTCATGTCCCAGGTGGGATGGAGCAGGATGGTGAGAGATTTTATCATACTGCAATTTAAAACTTATGATTATTTCTGGAATTTCCCATTTAATAATTTTGGATCTCAGTTGACCTAGCCTAACTGAGACCACAGAAAGCCAAGCCTCAGATAAGGGGCTCCTAATGGTGAATAAAAAAAATTTTTTTTTCTTTTTTGAGACAGTTTTGCTCTGTTGCCTAGGCTAGAGTGCCGTGGCATCAGCCTAGCTCACAGCAACCTCAAACTCCTCAAGCGATCCTCCTGCCTCAGCTTCCCAAGTAGCTCGGACTATAGGCATCCACCACCACACCAGGCTAATTTTTCTATTTTCAGTAGAGACAGGGAGTTCTTGGCTCAGGCTGGTCTCGAACTCCTAAATTCAAGTGATCCTCCTGCCTTGGCCTCCCAGAGTGCTGGGATTACAAGCGTCAGCCACCACGCCCAGCCAAAAAAATTAAAATTAAATTTCCAACACTAGGTTATTAATAGTGATCTTTTAAAACATTTGTTAATCTCAAAGATTTAATGAGTGTTTTAAGTCACTTCTTAAAAATCTGGAATTACAGATTTATATGTACTCAAAAGAAACACTGTAATGTGTTTTCCTGAGTTCTGTAAGCTATTCTGGCAAAGTCTCAAACTTAAGGAGGGGCTTGTGGGAACCTCTCATTTACAGCTGGTGGGTCAGAAGTACAGGTGGCCCAGGACTTGTGACTGGCTTCTGAAGTGGGGGCAATCTTGCAGGACTAAGGCCCTTTAACTTGTGAGATGTGATGTTAATTCAAGGTAGATAATGTCAGAATTGAATGGAATTATTGGACATCCAGTTGGTGTCCAGAGAATTGGTGTTAGAAAAACAAATCAAAAAAGATATAGAACATTTCTATTATTGCAGAAAATTCTACTGGACAACACTATGAGAACAGAGGGAAAAATCTAGTTTAGATTTGAATACTAGGAAGAAGTCTTCGGCACAGTAGTGGCTAAAGAATTCTGAGAAACTAACTCAAATTGGAGTTTACTTTCCTGAATCAAAGATGTTAGGATCTAATCAGATCAGAGTTATTTTCCAACTCAGTCCTTTCAGGATGAGACTTAATCTTCCTCCTTTACAGGCAGAGAAGCTAAGATACACTGTAAGGAAGTCAACTGTTCGGGTTATCCAATAAACCAACAAAAGATCCCAGGATTGGAACTCCCAGAGTTTCCACCTAATTATTTGGCTCCCTGAGTTCTCCCTCTGAGACTTGTTTCAGCACAGCTGTCAGACTGACAGATTCACTTGTAACCTGTCAGCCCCAATCAGAGGCACCACCTGATAGGGTATGGACACAAATGAGATGAAGACTGACTGCTGAAAGGTCACAGCCCTCTAATCCCCACATAGTCCCCAAAATGTCACATAAATGTCCAAGCAAAAACAAGACTCTCAGGCACTGGCAAGAACACTATCAAGAAAATCTGTCCTCAGACAAAAAGAAGCATACACCCCATGGGAGCAGGGGGATGAGTTCCACCTCATTAAATCTGAGACAATATAAAATAAGAAACTTAATTCCAGGCTGCTGACTGCCAGCTTGAAAACTACTGGTAAGCCATTTCTAATGCAAAGATACAATTTGCAGCATAGTAGTCTTCAAGATTGGAGGCACGGTTTGGGGTTTTTTTTGTTTTTGTTTTTGTTTTTTTTTTGAGACAGAGTCTTGCTCTGTGGCCTGGGTGAGAGTGCTGAGGCATTGGCCTAACTCACAGCAACCTTAAACTACCAGACTGAAGTGATCCTCCAGCCTCAGCCTCCTGAGTAGCTGGGACTAGAGGCACGCACCACCCCACCCTGCTAATTTTTTCTATTTTTAGTACAGACAAGTCTCACTCTTACTCAGGCTGGTCTTAAACTCCTGGCCCTCAAGCAATCCTCCTGCATCAGTCTCCAAAGTGCTGGTATTATGGGTGTGAGCCACTGTACCTTTTTTTTTTTTTTAATGTTAACATCTTTAATAAATCTTTAACTTTTTTTTTTTTTTTTTTTTGAGACAGAGTCTTGCTTTGTTGCCCAGGCTAGAGTGAGTGCCGTGGCGTCAGCCTAGCTCACAGCAACCTCACACTCCTGGGCTCAACATCCCCTGCCTCAGCCTCCCGAGTAGCTGGGACTACAGGCATGCGCCACATGCCCGGCTAGTTTTTCTATATATTAAGTTGGCCAATTAATTTCTTTCTATTTATAGTAAAGACGGGTCTCGCTCTTGCTCAGGCTGGTTTCAAACTCCTGACCTCGAGCAATCCGCCCGCTTCCCCAGAGAGCTAGGATTACAGGCGTGAGCCACCGCGCCCGGCCTTTAACTTTTTTTAATATGAGAAGTTAGCAGGTTGAGTCTTTGGATCCACCAGAAGTGTAATATAGTAGAAAGCCCCCTGGGCTAAGATTCAGAAGCCTCGGATTCTAGTCCCAGCTGTGCTGTTATCTAGGTAAATCACTCTGGGCAGGCCACCAGTGTGTGGAACCTGTCTTTTCTACATAACACAATTATTTTGAGAAATAAATAAGGTTATAGACATAAAAAGGATTCTCCAAAAATGCTCAACAGACCTATATTGACAAAGAAAACTTTAAATACTATATATAATATATATTTGTATTGTTTACAATACTATTTCCATTCCATGTGCCTTATACTAGAAAACTTACAGTGTCAGCCTCAAAGAGAAGTAGCTTGTCCTCCCCAAAATCCTATGCTCACAGAGGTCAAGTGACTTGCCTAGGATCACCAGTGAAGCCTAGGGAGAAGCTCGTTCCAGAAATGAACCCAATTAGCTATACCCTAGCCCTCCTGTAAGTCTTAACGCCATTTTTCTGATAAGACCTGCCAGCTAAAAATGAACCATCATTACTTGTCTATATTCATACCTAGACAGAAAAAATAAACAAAAAATTACTGTCTGAAAATTATACAGCCTATAATTAGGATATGGTGAGGGTGATAGCAGAGAGTTGAAATGGAAGGGCTAAATTTCAAGTTATAGGGTCCCACCTTGCTTCCGACAGCCAGGGATTTTGATAAATGCTCCATAGTCTGTCACCATAGCAACCTATAAAGACAAAAAAAAAATCAACATCACACAAATGAGAATCTTTCTTCCATAGAACTTAACCTAATCTCCCTGAATTACTACTTGGTACCGACTGCCTCTGTCTAATACAAAGCTGCCTAAAAATGAGGCTCTGTCAAATATTCTTTCTGTTCTTTTGAAATTTAGACTGACAGATATGTGTGTACACATTAATAACACTGGTGAGATTTGGAATGTTGTCACTTGGTATGATGGTACCAAGGAATGTCCAAATGTCACAACTATTGAAATCACCAAAGCAAATTCATGAACAAAAGTAACAGCAGAAAACCAGCAGAAAACTAAGTATTGGTATCACCAAAGGAGTTTCATGAACAAAAGGAACAAACAGCAGAAAACCAGGTAATAAAGTTCCACTTTATATTGGCTGGGACTGAGGCCTCTAATCCCAATACAGAAAACATTGATAATTTGGGATTGATCATGTAGAACATCCCTTATTCCTAAGCTTCAAATCAAACCAGACCATACAGCATACTATATTTCACTCCAAATCTTAGTCTTGGGTTTTATCAAGACAATTATATAAAAAGTCAATATACAGACATCTGATAGAACCTCAAAAGATGTAATCAGAGAGAAAAAGAGTTGTCCCCAAGTCTTTTACAGAATTGGCCTAAGACAGAAAAATTAGAGGCTTGATGAATCTAGTACAGCCTAGCAGCAAAGCCAGGTATAGCACACATATTGGGTCTATGTAACAGGCAACTAATAAATGTTAGGGGAGAAAGGTCCAGAGCCCTTGTCAGATAAATCATCACCTCAGGCTCTACTTTTCTCCCTTCTGCCCACCCCACCCCCTATCTGCAGATTGGGGGTAATGTCACTATAGATTGAATTTATCACTAAATTTATTATTATTTGTAAAATATTTGATACACTCTTACACATATATATAGACATTATTCTTTTCAGTGCCTTTAATTAGGTGCTTCATCTTGGGCAATCACTGTTGTAGCTTTACCACAACTAAAACAGGAGAACTGAGTAAGACAATTCCTGCTGCATTGCTATTCACTAATATATACTGAATACTCACTATATGCGAAACTATACAAAATGCTTTGCATAATCCTCATGTCACTGTATGAAGTTGGTATTATTATTCCCATTCAACACATGACAAAATAATGCATGAAGAGATTAAATAACTTATTCAAAGTCCAAAGCTAGTAAGTAGCACATCTGGGATTTGAACCCAGAGTGTCTTAACTACACTAGAGCTGCTCATGGGTTCTCTTTAATTATAAAACTCTAATGGCCAAAAGCAACGTGATATCTGATATCCTATCTGTTCCTGGCAACAATCCTAGAAAGTATATCAGGTAGGTCCCTATGTTGCAGATGAGGGAGAATAGTATAGGTATAGCAGGGCACAGTAGCCCCAACTACTCAGGAAGTTGAAGCAGGAGAATCACTTGAGCCCAGGAGTTCCAATCCAGCTTTGGCAACACAGCAAGATCCTGTCCCTAAGAAAACTTAAAAAAGAAAAAAAATTTTTTTTTTCAAAAAGAGAATAGCATAGTAAGTGTTGAAAGAGCACAAGCTTTAAAGTGAAAGATGTGTCTTCTTATCTCAGCTATGTTATGTCCTACCTGTGGGATCTTGAACACAACTTGCCTTTCAAGGCCTAAGTTCTCATTTGTTCTCACTGTGCTGCTGCAGATAACAAATAATGTATATAAAGTGTCTAGCACTGGCATCTGGCACATACTGTACATTCAATAAGGTACAGCTTTTTAATAATTTGCAGTCCAAGATAACGAAGTACAAAAGGATTAGTGACTGGTAAGAAGGCACAGAACTAACTCAGACAGAACCTGGGTCCCTTGACTCCTACTCCAGTGCCTCCTACTTCACCAAATATTATCATCACTTGCTTCAATATTAGGATGGAAATAGAGAAAAACTTTTATTTTCCTGATTTTTTAATGGGGATATTGGAACAGAGCACTTGAACTAACTCTCCAAAACATAGCATGAAGAATATATTACAACCCAAAAGTTCTATACTCCTGTTTCACACTGATGAACATGCTATAGTGGGGGAGAGTTCCAAAGAAACAGTACAATCACATAGATACTTAAAATCAAGGCAAGATGGAACCAAAGGAAAGACTTTAGAGATTAGTTGATGCAATCCTGTCATTTTTGAAATGAGGAAAATGAAAATTAGAGACACAAAGTGCCTACTCAAGTTCACAAAGCAGTTTGTTTTGTGTAAAAGAGGGTCACATAAAAGATAAGTGTTTCTATTTTTAATTAAATCAAAACAAATTCCATCTTTCTGGACCAACTGAAGGCCCTCTGTTTGGCTTTTGTACCAGGGTTCTAGAAGGAAGGCTGAAAATTCTCATGTTGTGTAACAACATTATTAAAGAGCATAATTATCTAACAAACTTAAAAGTAGCATCTGGCAGTTGGAGTTCAAATCACCTTGCTGCTGTGATTAAGACAATCTCACTTTTCAATCCCAAAGCTCCAGTGTCACGTTATAGTCTTTATAGGTAATATAACAGACCTTAATTTGGCCTCTCCCAAAAGGAAAGGTTAATGTGCTCCAGAATTGATGCACTCAACTGTTCAGTTAGGAAAAGGCATTCTTTCCAATTCCAGCACCAGGTGTTTCCATCACTGTGTCTCCTAGGGTGCAGTCAGAGTTGAAATTAACAGGATGGCACCTGCCATAGATGATCCCACAATCTGCCTGGTGTCCAAAGAACAATTAGTCAAACAGCTCAGGGAAAAAAATTCAGTAATTATCTCAACTGAATTTAGGGCTTGGGTAAAATGAATTTCCCATCTTCATATTAGAGGTGGCACTGGCCTTGAAACTCATTATCCCCATAATGTAAATGAGGAATTTGAGGCTCAGAGATATAAGTTACTCATGCAAAGTCACAAAGTTAGAAAGTAGCACAAGGTATAGCACAGACATTTTTTTTTTTTTTTTTTTCCTTTTGCAAGTCTTGCTTAACAGACATTTTTTTGACTTGTAGTCCAATGTTATTTCCACCTTGCCAACACCAATCTCCCTTCAGCATTTCTTTGGCAATGGCAAGCCTGAGCCAAGTCCTAACTCCCATTTCTATGTTTGTACCTCCTATCGTGTTTAATGGACTCTGGCACCCACATGCCTCTCAGAGGATAAGGGAAGGATGCATATTGGCTTCTTAGCTATGTAATCACTCAGCTCCGAATCCCTACTGAGCCCACTAACTGCTAGGATATGGGCTGCACCACTAGTTTCTTCAAGGACAACCAGTCCTATGAGGCCTGGGGTCAATTTTATTCTAATATTTACTAAGCACCTACCATGTGCAAGATACCGTATCAGGTACTGTGAAATAACTTTGTAATTTATTAATCATTGGGTGATTACTAAACTTCTGAGAAGAGTTTCCTTATCCATTAAATGGGGATAATAATTTCTTTGGATAGATTCAATAACATAAATGTATGGAAGTACCAACAGACGTTAAGCTAAAAAATTTTTTGAATTTTAATGTAACTTGTCTTCTTTGTAAATATTAGGCACTCATTAAATGTTCATTGGATGAATATCCTGAAAATATTTTCTTCTTTCCAATTTATCATAAAATTTCTCTTTTTCTAATTCCAAGTCACTTCTAAACCATCCTTTTGCAAAATGTGCTCTTGAAATAGTGAGTTAAAACTATAAAGTTTTCTCTGAACATTCCCACAGACCATCATTTCTTGATAGTAATATATAAAACCTACACTAATTCAAGCTCCATCTCCTTAGAAAAACCTGTAGGTCAGGAGCTACTTTACTAGAAATCTGAGTCAGTCTGTGGAAGACAGAGCACTCTTCCTCTTTCTTTTGTGCAGCACCTGACAAATGAGTGCTTCATGATCAGAAAAATAATTTTTTTTTGAGACAGAGTCTCGCTTTGTTGCCCAGGCTAGAGTGAGTGCCATGGCGTCAGCCTAGTTCACAGAAACCTCAAACTCCTGGGCTCAAGCAATCCTACTGCCTCAGCCTCCTGAGTAGCTGGGACTACAGGCATGCACCACCATGCTCGGCTGATTTTTTCTATATATATATTAGTTGGCCAATTAATTTCTTTCTATTTATAGTAGAGACGGGGTCTCGCTCTTGCTCAGGCTGGTTTTGAACTCCTGACCTTGAGCAATCCGCCCACCTCAGCCTTTTCACCTCTAGTGTTACCACTTCCTTTTTCTGGTACCTTACTAACCTTTGGGGATAACATGAGCCATAAAGAAAAAGGACAGGCCGGGCACGGTGGCTCACACCTAATCCTAGCATTCTGGGAGGCCGAGGCGGGCAGATCATTTGAACTCAGGAATTTGAGACCAGCCTGAGCAAGAAGAGCGAGGCCCCGTCTCTAGTATAAAATAGAAAGAAATTAATTGGCCAACTAATATATATAGAAAAAATTAGCCTGGCATGGTAGCGCATGCCTGTAGTTCCAGCTACTCGGGAGGCTGAGGCAGGAGGATTGCTTGAGCCCAGGAGTTTGAGGTAGCTGTGCGCTTGCTGACGCCATGGCACTCACTCTAGCCTGAGCAACAAAGCGAGACTCTGTCTCAAAAAAAAAAAAAAAGAAAAAGGACAGAGCCTCTGAAGAGCAGAGCTGTTTGCTATTTGTTGAAATGTTATTATTCTTTGTATTTTGGCTATTATATTACAAGTTGGGATCAACTTAACAGAAGCCAAAAACTACAATTATCTATAACCAACTTACAGTCACAAAGTCTACCCTCAAAGACCTCACATTATTAGGAGGTAAAACTTTTGTCAAACATAAAGCAAGTATGAATGCCAAATATGAATGATACTGTTAAAATACTATAGGTACTCATAAGACACTGAATATAATTTTTAGCTTTACTTTCACTTCATGAGTAGGGAGAAAATGTTAATGAATTCCTATGTCTCAGGCATTGTAATCTTGTGGAAGTAATTATTATTTCCATTTAATGAGAAAACAGAATCAAAGAGATTAAGTGACAGTCCCAAAGAACATACAGTAAGTAAAGAAGCTGGGACAGAATACAGATTCTGTCTGGTTCCAAACCCTTTGCTCTCTAAATAAATACAATGCCTTTTCCTTCAAAGGTTGATCATTCAGTCATCAAAAATGTATCAAGCATCTACCATTTTCTACCTACCCACCTAAGATTGAGATATACAATATTAGGCTGGAGGTAGGGGTTCACACCTGTAATCCTAGCATTTTGGGAGGCCAGCCTGAGCAACGTAGTAAGACCCCCTCTCTACAAAAAATAAAAAAAATTAGCAGGGTATGGTGGCACACTCTTATAGTCTTAGCTACTCAGGAGGCTGAGGCAGGAAGATCACTTGAGCCCAGGAATTTGAGGTTGCTGTGAACTATAATGGTGCCACCACACACTAGCTTAGCAAAACAGCAAGGCTCTGTCTCAAAAAAAAAAAAAAACAAAAAACATATACAACAAAATAGACAAAGTTCTACTCTCATACAGCTTTGCATCTTATGAAAAACACAGACATTAAGCAAGTACACAATTCAATACAGGATGAACCCATTTATTTACGATGGATAAAAAATCTCTGAGTAGACGTTAGGGCTGAGACCTAAAGTGGGAAAGTGGATAGAAGGAACAGTGACTTAATCCATTCTTGCTGCTATAACAAAATACCATAGACTAGATATCATAGACAGAGCACTCTTCCTCTTTCCCCATAGACTACATAATTTATAATAACAGAAGTTTATTTCCCACAGTTCTGGAGGCTGGGCAGTTCAAGATCAAAGCACCAGAAGATTGGTGTCTGATAAGGGTTCATTCTCTGCTTCCAAAATGGCACCTCATTGCTATGTCTTCACATGGCAGAAGAAATAGAGGAGCCAGGCAACTCTCTGAAGCCTCTTTTATAAGGGCATCCCATTCATAAGCACAGAGCCCTTGTAATTTAATCACATCCTCAAAGGCCCCACCTCTTAATCCCCCAATGTAATGATATTAAGAGGCGGGTCCTTTAGGAGATGATTAGGCCATGAAGGCTCTGCCCTCATGAATGAATTAGTGCCTTATAAAAAGGGTTTATGTTTGCTCCTTCTGTCCCTTCTGTCATGTGAGGACATAGCAGTTGTTCCCTCTGTAAGACGGAGCAGTAAGGCTCCATCTTGGAAGCAGAGAGCAGCCCTTACCAGACACCTAATCTGGCAGTGCCATGATCTTGGACTTCTCAGCCTTGTAGAACTGTGAGAAATAAATTTCTGTTCTTTATAAATTACCAGTCTCAGGTATTTTGTTATAGCAGCACAAACAGACTAACTAAACTAACACAAACAGCATGTACAAAAGTCCAGAAGAGAAAGTAAGAGCTTACAAGATTCAGAGCTATAAGGAGGCCAGTGTGGCTGGACTATGAGTGGGGTAGAACAAAACAACATTATCAAGCAGAGGCCAAGTCATGGAAGGGCCATGAAAATGAGTTTGTATTCAATTATGAGAGGCCTCTGAAGAGCTGTGAGAAAGCAGTATGTCCAATCTGGGGTTTTAGAGTTTTTTTATGTGCCATAAAATGATTCTGAACCAATCTGTTTTTAAAATGTTATTCTGGCTTCAATGTGAAGAACAGATTAGAGAAGGGTTATAATAGAAGTAGAGATCTCAGTAAGGGCCAGGCAAGAGATGGAGAGCTTGAACTAATGGGTGCCAAGGGGATAAAGAAATACATAGGCTGGAGATAGAATTAGGATTTGTGGATAAACTGAAGGGGAAGGGAAAATCAAGATGAGATCAAGAAGAGAAATCAAGGATGATACTCAGCTGTCTAGCTTGAATTCCTGAACAGATAATGGTTCTATTTGGCTGGGCACGTGGCTCACGCCTGTAATCCTAGCACTCTGGGAGGGCGAGGCAGGAGGGTTGTTTGAGCTCAGGAGTTCGAGACCAGCCTGAGCAAGACTGAGATCTCATCTCTACTATAAATAGAAATTAGCCAAACAACTAAAAATAGAAAAAATTAGCCAGACACAGTGGCACTGCTTGGGAGGCTGAGGCAGAAGGATTGCTTGAGCCCAGGAGTTTGAGGTTGCTGTGAGCTAGCCTGACACCATGGCACTCTAGCCCAGGCAACAGAGTGAGACTCTGTCTCCAAAAAAAAAAAAAAGAAAGAAAAAGAAATGGTTCTATTTGCTGAGATGGAGAAGAATAGAATTGCTGGGTGTCTTTGACCATTTGAGTTTCTATAACAGAATACCAGAGACTAGATAATTTATAAAGAAAAGAAAATTTATTCGGCTCATGGTTCTGGAGACTGGGAAGTCCAAGACTGAAGTGCCAGCATATGGCAAGAGCCTTTTTGCTGCATCATCCCATGACAGAAAGCAAGAGGGCAAGAGGAGAGCAAGAGATAAAACTTACAACCTCGAGCCCTTTTATAATTAGCATTAATCCATTCATGAGGGTAGCTAAACACCTCCCTTTAGGCCCCACCGCCCAACAATACTGCATTGGGAATTAAGTTTCCAACATGTGCTTTTTAAAGTAAACATTGAAACCACAGCGGTGAGAAAATGAACAACTCACTTTAGAACATAAACTAGAGATGCCATGAAGTATCCAAACGAAGATGTGAAATATGCAGTTAGATGTTTGGAGCTTAGCAGAGCTGTAAGTGGTAGCCAGATGCTCCACTAGCCCTTCCCATTTAATCTATAATGCTCAACAGAGTCTCAAGTGGACAGGGGCATCAAATCCAGCTGCTTGGCCAGGCGCAGTGGCTCACCCCTATAATCCTAGCACTCTGGGAGGCCGAGGCGGGCGGATTGCTCGAGGTCAGGAGTTCAAAACCAGTCTGAGCAAGAGCGAGACCCCGTCTCTACTATAAATAGAAAGAAATTAATTGGCCAACTAATATATATAGAAAAAATTAGACGGGCATGGTGGCGCATGCTGTAGTCCCAGCTACTCGGGAGGCTGAGGCAGAAGGATCGCTTGAGCCCAGGAGATTGAGGTTGCTGTGAGCTAGGCTGACACCACAGCACTCACTCTAGCCTGGGCAACAAAGTGAGACTCTGTCTCAAAAAAAAAAAAAAAAAAAAATCCAGTTGCTTTTCACTCTCAATCTATCATTAACATAAATGGCTTTCAAAGCACAAAAGAACATACCTCTCCTTGGAAAATAGTGTAGAGAGCAGGCAAGTTTTCCATGGTCTCAGGCCTTCCTGAATTCATCCTTAATGTTCTATGGCTCCTCCATTTCTCTTCTGCTAAAACTAATTCAAGAGTCCTATCAAAAAGAAATTAGACAACAATGAGAGAGATATCTGCATTAAAGAAAAAATGAATGTGTAGACAGTCCACAGCCAATCTTTAAGGAATAACAGCATTAGATTTAACACCATGTACTTTTATCCAAATTTCTTTTGTCTGTTCTAATTGTGGGGAGTTTTAGAAACCTTGATCTTACTTCTTTACAATTTGTTACTTATTCAAGGCTATCAAACCACTGGTTTTATTGTTTAGTTTTTTTATTGCTATTTTTTATTTTATTGTTTTGCCATGGGAAGAATTTTGGGGGAGTTGGGGGAGGAGTGTGTATAAATGAATCTTAAAAAAATGGAATAATAGTAATAAGGGCTAACATTTATCATGCACTTACTATGTCCAGGCACTATGCTAAGCACTGGACATGCTGTGTCTCATTTAATTCTCAAAACTCTCAAGATGTAGTTTCTGTTATTATTATATAGAAGAGAGACCAGAAGTCAAATTACTAAGCCTATGTCAAAAAGCCAGCAAATGGTAGTCAAATCCTGGCTGTCTCCAGAGTCCATGCTCTTAACCACTACACTAGGCAGTAGTAATAAATCCAAAGTGACTTCAAAAGACACAGAGGAGGCCAGGCACGGTGGCTCACACCTGTAATCCTAGCACTCTGGGAGGCCAAGGTGGGAGGAAAGCTTGAGCTCAGGAGTTGGAGATAAGCCCCAGCAGAAGCAAGACCCCATCTCTACTAAAAATAGAAAAATTAGTGGGGTATCATGGCACACTGCCTGTAGTCCCAGCTACTTGGGAGGCTGAGGCAAGAGGATCACTTAAGCTCAGGAGTTTGAGGTTGCTGTGAGTTACTCTGATGGCACAGCACTCTACTCAGGGCAACCGAGTGAGACTCTGTCTCAAAAAAAAAAAAGACAGAGGAGAGCTTGTTTTTTTCCCCTATAAAATTAAAACACATATTTTTAAAGTCCAGGTAACACATTAATAATGAAGAAACTAAAATCATCCACAATTCAATTTGGTTTATATTCTTTCAGATTTTTTAATACATATAAGTGTTTTTTTAAGGGAATCATGAAATCATTAATCATTATTTTCTTAATATATTATGATCAAACCATACACACACACTTTTTTAATGCCTACATAATAATCCATTGTTGGATGCACAAAATTCATTTAACCATTTATGAATTATGTTAAAATGCAGATTGCAGTTCAGTTACCTGAGGTGGTACCCAAGATTGTACATTTTCAACCAGCTGCCAGGTAATGCTGATGCTGCCTAAGAAGCAAAACTTAGAGCTTTGAAGTTGTAAGGGTCCTGACAGACACCCTTGCTCAGCCTCCTGATTGTAAACAGAGAGGAAGCTAGCAATCCAGTGGCTATTAACCACATCCCTTTACTCTGATGGTAAATCACTGCTAGATAAAGATAAACCTAAGGGTACTATTCTTAGTTCTCTTTTTCCTCCCAATTACACTTGGCACCAATAAGACCTGAAACTACTTTTCTAAGGTTTTCATAGGCGAATATTTTCTTCTCTCCTGAACCCCCACTGCTCCCTCTTACTTTCAGATGATGATTTTGTGTCCTACTGTTCGCAAGTCTTCCTGATTTACGATGACCATCCATTAAGTGGACAGCCTCGCTTGAAACAGAAATGAAAGAAAATCCTGTCAGACTTCCAAACTCTTGTTCTAGTATCATCCTATGACCCCAGGAACATTTCTTTCTTCAAGTTCCATAAGAAAATCTTGTATCCTTATGATAAACTAGCCCTTTTCTGCTTAGGTCAGCTAGAAGTGTCTTTTTATTACTTTATTAAAAGTACATAGAGAGAATAGAGGCAGATTTGTCAGTTCTTGAGAAATGGCTCATACAAATCCTGCTTCTGCCACTCCCCAGCTATGCAGTCTCATCTCTAGCCCTTCCCTTTCTCTGCCCAGCATCCCTCACCTCCCATGCTAGAACAGGAGTTATTAATCTGAGGTCAATGGTTCTATCAAGAGACCTTTATTATTCCTCCAATACCTGGAACCTTAGTGAGGTACAGAATCCAGAGGCACCAGCAGCTAGGGCATATGAATTGGGCTCAAACATCTCAGTCTATTATCTGTTCCTCTCCACACTAAGGTCATGAAAAGAGCAATAAAAGCAGAAATGAACTTATTTGTTCCTTTCAGACTTCTGCTGTGAAAAGCATATAAAAAGCTATGTTTAAAGCTCCCCCGTTTACTCCTCTAGTATAACAGTAACCTGAGAAGCCCTATGCAATTATTCAAGAATGAAACTGGCATGCAGTTTTGATACAAAACCTAAAATATAACAGTATAGTAGTCCCACTTATCCACAGTTTCACTTTCCAGGGGTTCAGTTATCCACAGTCCACTGTGGTCCAAATATATTAAATGCAAAATGCCAGGCCAAGCACAATGGCTCATGCCTGAAATCCCAGCAGTTCAGGAGGGTAAGGTGGGAGAAGCACTTAAGGCCAGGAGTTCAAGATCAGCCTGAGCAACATAGACCCCTCTCTACCAAAAATTTAAAAATTAGCCAGGTATGGTGGTACATACCTGTACTCCCAGCTACTCAAGAGGCTAAGGTAGAAGGACTGCATGATCCCAGGAGTTGGAGGTTGTGGTGAGCTATGATTCTGCCACTGCACTCTAGCCTGGGCAACAGAGCAAGAATATGTCCTCAAAAAAAAAAAAAGAGTCGGGGTCCAGTGGCTCATGCCTGTAATCCTAGCACTCTGGGAGGCCAAGGCAGGATGATCACTTGAGCTCAGGAATTTGAGACCAGCCTTAGGAAGAGTGAGACCCCATCTCTACTAAAAATAGAAAGAAATTAGCCAGACAACTAAAAATATACAGAAAAAATTAGCCAGCCATGGTGGCAAATGCCTGTAATACTAGCTACTCGGGAGGCTGAGGCAAAAGAATTGCTTGAGCCCAAGAGTTTGAGGTTGCTGTGAGCTAGGCTGATGCCATGGCACTCTAGCCCGGGCAACAGAGCAAGACTCTGTCTCAAAAAAAAAAAAAAAAAAAAAAAAATTCCAGAAATAAATAATTCTTAAATTAAAAAATACACATTGTTCTGAGCAGCATAATGAAATTTCGCACCATCTCACCTTGGCCTACCTAGGAACATGAATCATTCCCTTATCCAGCATATCCATGCTGTATATGCTACCCGCCCATTAGTCACTTAGTAGCCCTCTCGGTTATCAGATTGACTGTCATAGTATTGGAGTGCTTGTTTTCAAGTAACCCTTATTTTACTAAATAATAACCCCAAAGCCCAATAGTCATGCTGGCCATTCAGATATGTCAAAGAGAAGCTATAAACTGCTTCCTTTAAGTGAAAAGGTAAAAGTTCTCAACTTGAAAAATAAAATTGTATGCTGGGCTTGCTAAGATCTACTGCCAAAACAAATCTACTATGTGTGAAATTATGAAGGAAAAAGAAATTCATGCTAGTTTTACTGTTGTGCCTCAAACTGCAGATGTTACAGCCTCACTACATGATAAATGCTTAGTTAAGATGGATGGCTGGGGGTGGTGGCGCACGCCTGTAATCCTAGCACTCTGGGAGGCCGAGGCGGGAGGATCGCTCAAGGTCAGGAGTTCCAAACCAACCTGAGCAAGAGAGAGACCCCATCTCTACTAGAAACAGAAAGAAATTAATTGGCCAACCAAAAATATATAGAAAAAATTAGCTGGGCATGGTGGCACATGCCTGTAGTCCCAGTTACTTGGGAGGCTGAGGCAGGGTTGCTTGAGCCCAGGAGTTTGAGGTTGCTGTGAGCTAGGCTGATGCCACAGCATTCTAGCCTGTGGGCAACAGAGTGAGACTCTGTCTGAAAAAAAAAAAAAAAATGGAAAAAGCATTAAATTTGTGGGTGGAGATATGAACACAAACATATTTATACTGACAGCAATCGGGTTCAGTCCCATCCAGTTTCAGGGATCCACTGAGGTCTTAGAACATATCTCCCCCAAACAATAGACTATTATAACAAGTTTTACATATCAGGAAAGTAGATGGTTGCCATTTTAAAACATGGTATTTAAATCTTTTTTCAAATTATGTTCTGTAGAAACCTAGGATTCTATGGTGGTTATCAGAGGCTCCTCAGTTAATTCAAGTTTATTTTTTAAATGTCAACTCTGAAATATCTAGGTCACCCTAGGGTTCAAGAAAACCAAAGAGGCTGGCTCCTAGGCTGGCTAATGAAACAAGAGCCTCCATACCAAAACTGGAGGGAGCAGAACCCCTAAAGAAACTACAGTTGAGGGAAGTCCCACTCAGAGCAGTTGGGCAGGTAGTATCTTCTCCACAGTAATTAGGCAGAGGTCGATTAGTGCTGATTCCCACTGACCCTCCCAGCCTTGGGGTAGGCCATAGTGGCAAAAGGAGAGAGATGGGTGGGAATTACCAGACAGGTGCCTACTATAACATGTATTATGCCTTGATCCAGTTTACATATTAAGCTTCTGTGTAAGATTTCATTTGGGGAAAAAAAGGAGTTCTGCTACATTCAAAAAGTTTATAAAACATTGAGATAAATATAGTCCAGTCAGATAGCACCACATTCGTAGACTTAAAAGAACAAGAAAATTGACGAGGATTGAGGTATACCATTTGGAGTTGCCTTACAATTGTCCTGAAAGCAGAATACAAGGGCTTCATTTCACTTGAATGTTTTAAACAATTGTTTTGTATAGGGAAGCAATAAGGGGCCAGTTACTAGCCATTCTCTTCCCAAAATGAGGGGCAGAGCAAGGAAAGTGGGGGTGGAAGTGGGAGGCACAGCAGGGCAAATGGTGGGCCAGAGTGAAGTCAGAGCCTACTCTGGGGTAAGGAGGGAATCTGCAAAGAGTGTGAGGAAGAGTAGGGTGATAAAGGCATCCACACACTGGAGCAGTCTCGCCAAAATGGGGACTCAAGAATGGAGAGGTGGGGCCTGAGGATTAGAAAAGTAATACAATAATAATTTTATGATT